CGCTTATTTGCCACTGAATTCTGTATGAAGGGATTTTGACTGTTATCCCTGATCAGGAAGATCACCATACCGTCAATAGAGCTTTATTCAACCTACAACAGACAAAGCGGAATATGCACAAAACCAAGCCGTGCGGGCAAAATAAAGCACGGCACGCGTTAACCGGGAAGCTGAGAGTCCGTGTATCCCATTAAAAAGGACATACGTACATTTTTGTCTACTACAATGCGTGACCGATCTCATGAATTGTTGGTCGAAATTCTGAAATACGTTTACCGTTAGGAAGGATTACCTAAGTGGGGTTGTAATACTGGGTAGCTTGCGACACAATCTTATGGTATTTAGGACTCGCCAGGATGTCAACTATTGAATGCACATCTTTTCGACCTTCTGCAGAAACCACACTCAGTAAAAAATTACTACTTAAGTGACATGAATTTTCACACTGATTTTCGGTGGTTCTATAAATTCAAGTATATTTTATAGTAAACATGAACAAAACATGCTTTCTTTTACAAGTTTGGAAGAAAATCAAATTTTCTTTAAATTTTATGCCTTAAAAAGGGTTATCTTCCAGTTTCAAAAATTTTCTAGTCATAAGATTTTTTAAGACCGTGGGATGTCCGTATATACAGTATCGCACATGTCCGTTTACCAATTCTCCTCATCAAAGGTACAGCATAGTCCGCATCCATTGCAAAATTTTATGGACTCTATATGTCATCTTCCTATAGGCATGGAGAAATATACGACTTTTCTTATGTGAAAAGCCTGCACCTTGCAGGGTGAAATCACTAAGCGCTAATGCAACGGCTGATCTGACCCAAAATTATTCGGGAATTCGAAAACTTTTTCAAGAGCTAAATATACATTTTCTTAGGGTATAAAATATAAAAAATGTGATTCTCTACCAAAAATGTAAAAGAAAGCATGTTTTTCAGATGTTTTTTAAAAAAATATATTTGAATTTATAAGATCACCGATAATCAGTGCGAAAAATGCATGCTACTTAAACAGTCATTTGTGACTGAGTGTGGTTTCTGCAGAAGGTCGAAAAGATGTGCATTCAATAGCTGACATCCTGGCAAGCCCTAAATACTAGAGAATTATGTCGTATGCCAATCAATATTACAACCCACCTAGATAATCTTTCCTAATGGCAAACGCATTTCAGAATTTCGACCAACAATTCATGAGATCGTTCACGCACTGTACAGGGAGGTATAGTAGCATGTTTGGGCGTAGGTTCATGCCGCGTTAGCCACCTGCATTCAATCCCAGCTCCAAATGGCTTATCGACTCATAGAGTGGGCTGGTGTCTGTGAAGGAAAGATAGGGAATAAGACTGACGGTCTCGACAAATATTCGTTCTAGATACAAATATCCAAATCCTACATATGCGAGATAACGCTTACTCGCGTAGAGGACACTCCAAAAAGACCAGTGAAAATTTTGGTATTTTCAGATGAGTCACGATCGAGGGTTCGTTATAATTGACCACATCATGAGGTTACTTTTTTGATATTGGTGGTCAACAACGGCAGATGGGTGAATGGGGGCCAGTCGGGCCTGCAGTTAGGGTATATCAGGTTACTGAGGAGTCCGAGACTGGGCTTCCAATAAGTCACGTTAAGTGTCAACAGTACTCCTCGCCACTCGAAGTTCTCAGACCAGAGTTTCCAGGCCAGAAATAACGTCCTTATTCCGTCACAGATATAGTGTGGGTGTGTGAACGTCGACCCGACATGACCTTGAGTACCCTC